AAACCACGCTCTTGAAAAAAAAAATCTTTATTGAACACGTCTGTTCACAATAGAATGCTATATCGAACGCGTGTAAGGAAGGCGAGAGGAGTCAAGTGACACATTCAAGTGCGCTCAGTTTGTTCGAGAACCGAAATTCGGTCGTCATCCGAGGCATAAAAAACTTGAAATTTTTGGTCAAAAACTGATTTGGTCGAGAACAGAGACGTTCGAAAACCGAGGTTTGACTGCATATATATTAGAGCTGTCAAACGATTAAAATATTTAATCGAATTAAAAACGCAACTGTCATAATTAACTCACAATTAATCATGATTACTCACATTTTTTATTGTTTCTGAATTTCCTTTTATATTTTTTTGTCCTATTTTTTTCCCGTTTCAATGCTCTCATCAACATGGAATCATGGATCAGTTTTCTATGTGCAAAATGCAAATATTTACTGAAACAACAATTTCAATTTTCAATTTTACATGAACATTTTTCACTTGGAGCAGTTATTCACACATAATCTCTCACACAATATTACTATCAACAACAGTGAAAAAAATATTTTGCCACACAACAGCTCCTTTAACAGCTCTTTTTAGGGAATCAAAACAGAGCAATATAAAATTATAAACTGCACATCTAAGGTAAACTAGTACTCAGCCTATAGTGGATTTAAGCCATGGTTGCATATTTTGTTTTTCTCAAGTTTTCTTTGCACACAGCAGTCAGGCTATGTTGATTCTGTTGGTCCTTCTTGCGTGGAAGTCTCTCTATGGTTTTGTGTCGACATCATTTTGGATGACTACACTTGGTTCGACGCACGCACAACACTGGAGACGTTTTATTTTCAGTGTGGTCGCTACGACCTTAATTATTGTGGGTGGCCCGGTGGACCAGTGGCACGTCGATCTCACATTGCAGAGGTGCAGGGTTCGATTCCGGGTCCGGCCTTCCTGTATGGAGTTTGCATGTTCCCCCTGTGCCTGTGTGGGTTTTCTCCGGGTACTCCGGTTTCCTCCCACATTCCCAAAACATGCGTGGCAGGTTAATGGAACACTAGTCTAAATTGTCCCTACGTGTGAGTGTGAGCGCGGATGGCTGTTTGTCTATGTGTGCCCTGCGATTGATTGGCTGGCAACCAGTTCAGGATGTAGGCTACAGCACGCCCCTTGACCCTGGTGAGGATTCCTGGATCAGAAAATGGATGGAGGGATGGACTTCATTATTTGTAAGCCACTGAGACATGTTTGCACTGTGGTTGAGAGAGGAAAGTAATTTTAATCTGTGCTGTATGTTCCACATAGAGCATATTTGACAATAAAAGCTGACTTGACATGAATAAACATTTTTACCTTAACACTGTGCTTGAATGTAGAAAAAAAATGTACTAAAGTAATGATCAGTTAAATGTACTGAAAATGTTGTATGAAAATCATACACCAATAAATATTTTTAAAAAACAATCCTAAACAGCCTCTTGTCGACCCTCTCAGTGGTCAGGATTTTTGTGGGCACGGGGCTAAATGGCGATGAGCTGATGCAAACACAGATCAGCACGTGTTGTCCCTCCCCGCGATATAAGTGCCCTCATTTCATCTGTGGAGATTCAGCGTCCTCCTCTCTCTCCTGAGGAATGTAATTTCATCAGTGCTGTATGTTGCACATGTAGCACATTTGACAATAAAGTTGACTTGACTTGACACGCACGCGCATGCACACACACACACGCACGCACACGCACGCACACTTGAAATTGCTGGTGGTACTTTTAGCCAATCAGATTGTAGATTCACCTCTGGAACGCCATCTCTGCTGCGGGTGACGAGTGAGTTTCTCTGTCCTCTCTTTGGTTTAGTTACGTGTAACTTCTGATTGGTTGAGCTCTGCTTGATTTACTATTGAGGACGATGTCAGACCAGGATTAAAAAGTCACTTTCAAGGCACACTTTTAAACCTGGACGCCAGGTTTAGCAGGATATGTGAAATCCTCTTCTTTAATGCCACACATTGTCCTCCTCTGAATGTGTTTATAAATTAGATATTTATGTTGTCTGCAGTATGATTGCTCAACCGTACACGTCTGACCTATGTAATCAAAAAGCTTGATGTGAGGACGTTATTAAGATGGGAAACTCGCCGCCCGCCTCTGATTTGAGCATCAGGCTAATTTATACAACCAAAATATAAATGCAAAATAAATACAGTAATGAGATTATTTTTTTTCGGCCCTCGATGAGTGGGGTGTAGATGAACCTGACTGGCCGGCACAAAGTTCTGACTTCAATCCAAAAACTGAAAAATATTTTAAATTTACTTTCTATCTTGAGTCTAATCTTTCTTTTCCTCATCCTGCTCATCCTCATTGCTGCAGCATATCCCATCTGATTTTGGACAAAGGAAACGTGTGCCTGAACTGGACTTTTATTTTTTCATTCATTCAAAAAAAAAAAAAAAAACCACACAAACCTTACATTAACTTGAGCTGCCCGGTACCTGTAACCGATTGTATTCAACTTTCAGGTCCCAGTTATTCACACAAGGATAAACTGCATCTTGGACTTTGCAAGTCGAGTCAGACGGGAAATTATGGATCCAACTTCCCCCACCAAAACAGTGCGGTACCATTTCACTTGATACGAGGCTTAATCAAACATATATCCTGGCAAAACATGGGGACGGAATGATTCCAAAAACATAAGAAAACTGCACGAAGGGATTAGCTGAATAATTATGGTAGCAATGACCAAGAAATTGAAGTAATTCCAAAGCCATATTATCCTAAAAGCAGTAATCCGTCTAAACCCAACTACAATCCGTAATCAGTGGCAGCTGAAGCGTGGCGCCAAGACTCCTTAAATCTAGACACAGCTGATTTAAGTTTTTAATGGCAGGCAATAACTCAAACTACTCGTCAGATATCCATTCATATTATCTCTTCATGGGTAATTCAAACTAGTATCTTCCACCCACTCTGCCAACTACTTCCTATTCAATTGTGCCGCTATGAATTACTTTCCAAGGTGCAATTATACTTTACTGAGAAAAAATATCCTGTTATCATCCCACAAGTTTCAAGTCAAATGATACATCTTTACACTGTACACAAACTGGAAAACGTCGGCATTTAATGAGAAACAACACACATTTGAGTGTGGGGTCAGCAAATCTAAGCTTGCTGTATTTGATCTTCGGCAGTCTTCTGCTCGTGTGAAATAAGTGTCAGTGCCAGTCCTGTCACATCTTATTTGTTTACAACATAGAGGCAGGCCTGCTAACATTTGCTGACCAAGTTACGTGAAACATGGGTTACATGTCTTTAGATTAATGTAGATGTCGCTAACGTGTAAACCTGACGCGTAGATTTTAGTTTGTTTGTTGCTGATGACTGACGAAGTCTGTGGAGAAACGAGAAGAACTGACAAACATGACGATAGATGGTGGGGATGACGCTAGCTACAAAAGCCTCACTGTTTTGCAGTCGGTACAAGCAATACAGTACGCATTCCTCCCGTCAGACACTTCTTGACGCTAAACCGCGGATTCATTTCCTCAACGTTAGTACGATTGCGCAGCTGACAAGCCTAATGATGCACCCTGGCTTATTCCATCATAGAAATCTATCTTACCTGCTCATCAAATCTAGTAATCACGGCCTGGACCCATTCCACTGGTTTGTGAGCCGCCATGGCCGGGCGGAAAGACACCGCAGCGTTTGTGTTGCTAAGTCCACGTATGGGGATGGGTCTGTCAAGCTCAAAAATGCATGGAAATCTGTCCTGAATCGATGGGAGCGGACCAAAGGGGCGAGTATTTGTCTATTTCTGTACAATTCACCATGCCACCGCCATTAAAACACCACCGGAAGTCTTCTTCAGAGGAATTGATAGGAGGCGTTGGAGAACAGGATCGACCTTACTTTAATAATAAAATACTACATCCATGCTGAGTCTTCAAAATAATAGACTCGCTCATCTGTCTTCATCCGTGGTTCTGTACCAACTGTGAAAATGTATCGGCGCAAGTATGAGATTGGGGGAGAGGGGGGGACACTATATATGTGTTATAAAATCACAAAACTGCTTTTATAATCTCTCTCTCTCTCTCTCTCTCTCTCTCTCTCTCTCTCTCTGTATATATATATATATATATATATATATATAAAAAATTTATAAAAGAAACTACGCACCCATTACTTAAGGTTGTATTGCTCATGCTGGACTGACCTACCTTTCCTATTTCACAGTAATTTTAATTTTCTGTTCTATGGCTAACACACATCTGTGATGGCATAAAAAATTTAAATAAGTTAACAAAGAAGCATAACATTTTAATTGCTTACTTGGCTAAAGACATTCTCAACACCTTTGTTTGACCTCTGAGGCATATTCTTCGAGACCGAAATTACTGTAATTTCCGGACTATAAACCGCTACTTTTTTCACCTGCTTTGAACCGTGCACCTTAAATAACGATGCAGCTAATTTATGGATTTATACGGGCTAACCAGCTTCATTCCGCCAATATTTGCATCCGTCCTTGGCGGTGTCCCATTTCTCAGAAGCGTTGACCTCACATCAGGGAGCAGCGACATTGCTGGGATACTCTATATAGCCCATGAGTGAACGGGGTGCAGCCTGATGTGACACCAAACCTTCTCATGTGATGTTACAAAAAGTCCCCGATATGCATCGACCATCTGCAAGACTTGCTTTGGAAAGTCCTTCTCGCTATCTGTGCAACCCACTTTTATACAAACACGACATTGGACAATGGGTACGTGTAAAAGTTCTCATCTCTCTTTAAATTTAGTGGGTGCAACATATATGTTAAGGTGCGCTCCAGTATTATACAGTAATAGTTTTGGATTTTTCATTAAAGTTTTAAAAAATGTTTTATAATTCATTTTATAAGCATTTTTTTCCCCAAAAATGCTTCATTTTAGTTTAGTTTTAGTATTTGTTTTATTTTTTCTTGGATGCAAGATTCAAACAAAATTCACAAAGTATTGTGTAAAGTAACTGTTTGACCTGCCTTCTTTTGTATGGACATACAGCAATATCAAAATAAAGACATTTAAAATATACTCATACTCAAAGCTCATATATGATATTAATTCACCAAGATGAAAACAAAAAACATGTTTGCTTTCATTTTACTCACTTTCAGTTACTTTTGTAAATATAAGATATAGTTCCAGTTAGTTTTTTTTTTTTTTTTAAGCATTTTTGTTTTATTTCATTCCGGAAAATTGTTATTCAATTTTACTTTTAGTTCTTGCAGTTTCTTTTACTATAATAACCTTGGTTCACTCAATCGTCCGGAAATTATGGTATGTGCATATAAATCACAGCTTTACTCCTTGCAAATCCACATTCACAGTCACTATTTACACAACGGCCACATATGTTCACATTTACAACCACCCCGTGGCATTAAATTACATACAAAGTTTTACTGTAGCAACATGTTCATGCTTGATAACTTATTGCCAAAATATTGCACAAAAATGTCCGGGTGGCCTTTGTAGAACTGGGCCAGCAGATGTCTCTTTTCCTTGTTGGGCATGTTGGGGTTCTCGTGGATTGTCCGTAGTAACGACCGCAATTCCTCTTTAGTGTGCGTTTCTCTGTTTTCCGAATAAGCCTTTGCGCTCTGTCTTGTGCAATACGTCGACCCTGAATTTACAGAGGGGAATGAAATACAACAATATGGGAAATAAGAGGAATATTTTTTGTGGAGATGATGTCAAATAAATGATACAATGAAGTAAGATCTGCACACCTGTTATCATATCTGCATCCTTCCCTCGAACGATATTCTTCAATCTGTCGCTGACCATCTTGTGTAGTGAAACAGGAACCTGATGGCAATAAAAAAATATGATATACATTTGTAAATTGTAACAAAGAAACTCCAGCAAATGTGTTTATTTTTTGACTATTATGTACCTGGATGTCGTGATGTATGTTACCCCATTACATTTACTTCAGTCATCGTCATTTTTGGGCTAACTTATACCTGCCAGATTTAGTTTTAATGCATCATACTGTTTTACTTACAGTATTTCCATACTAAAAGGCGCACTAGATTATGAGGCGCACCTTCAATGAATGGCCTATTTTGTCATTTTTTTCATATAGTGGACGCACCGCATTACAAGACGCAATCTACAATGCATCCAATAGATGGAGCGACGCTCAAGGAAATGCCAACAGAACACTACACTACACTACACTCTGATTTATATAGCGACAATCAGATGTCAGTCAAACTTATTTATTAAAGCACCGACACAGTTCATTTAACCAATAGCAAGTTATAACATTGACTCGTTAACGTTGAACTCTCTTGCCGCTGCTCTATTTCTGTGTTCAACTGCGAAACCAATCGCCTTAAGTTTGAACTCTGCGTCGTAAGCATGTCTCCAAGCAGCCATTTTGGGGTCGAAATATTACCATAATGATCATACACAAGGCGCATCAGATTTTAAGGCGCGCTGTGAGCTTTTACGAAAATGGAAAGCTTTTAGGTGCGCCTTTTAGTGCGGAAAATACGGTATACTTAAGTATTTTTTGCTAGGAAACAACTGGCATTTTTACTCCATGCATACTGCATGTATTTGTTGTATATTATTTACGCGCATATTATATGCCACCAATTTGTATTATTACACTAATATATTTAGTTTTAGATATTTATTATAAAATGCTTAGTGTAAAACCACGTTGACATTTAATTATTTCAGAGATAATGTTTAAAAACATGTTTGCCGTGAGACGGAAGCTATTATCAGTACAGTACAAAGTAGAACCACAACTAATTGTTAATACACCTCTGACAGTGTCGGTCAAAACTGAAGATCATCTTCATAAATTTATCTCCCTGCCATCGGATGCTATGAGAAGGTGCCGGTGTACCTAATGTTTTGACCAGTGCGTTGAAAAGATCATTGAAAAGATATGGGATGGAAGAATAAAACACATTGAAAAAGCACAAACAAAAGCCTCATGATTATCTTTCCTTCCGCTGCACATCTCTTACATAACGTCCCTGTTTATTACCTCCTTCCTGTTGGGAAGCCCGTCTTGTTTTTGTTTTTTTTTGGGGGGGAAGAGACATGCAATTAGTTTTAAGCTGTTCCTGATGTGCATAAGAGATGAAACTCGCAAACAGCGTGCAGCCGTCCCCGGCCGTTTGTGAGCTCTTCTAATGTAATGCACAACACTCACATTGAATAGATCGCAATGGTTGTCCATCATAAAAAGAACCATCAGGTCCACTTTGCCTTTGGAGAGTCTTCGGCTGTACACGATGGCGCTGGAGAATGACCTCTTCACTGCCATTCGGTTCTCGATCTGCGGGACACACAGGCGCAAAGAATGGTAACTATGCTCCTGAAATATATTTAAAAAAAGCAGATGGCATCATTCGGTGTCTTTTGGATGAGATCACGCATATCAAGACAATGCACAAGCTCATGAACATATGGCGAATATTTGAAATCAAAATTTGCAACCTTAAATCTACCACAAAGAGTGTCACAAAAGAGAGAAAAGGTGAGAGACATTGTTTAAATTTAGAAGTAGAGGCGATGATGTAATGTACGTACTGTACATACAGGTACGTGCATACACGGCCACACATCAACACGCACACACACTACTAATTATTACTACTACTACTCAATAGCGTGCAAATAGTTTGTCAAGTTTGTCATAATTATTTTGCCATCAAAAGTGCATTTTCATTGCTGCTGGTGGTATTTTATAGAAGAAAAGAACTGTTCAGATGTTTGAGTAGCCAATAAAGCAAAAAATACTGGCAGAACATTCACTCTTGTTGTTGTGCATAAAATATATTTTTCACCAAAAGTTGGTTTTCTGCCCTTTTCTGAAATGGGTGAAACCAACCCGAGTTCTATTGCTGATTAGTAAAAAAAAAAAAAAAAGGAATAAGGTAGAAAGAAACTTTTTTTTATGTTCAAAGAAAAGAATCTAATCTTTCATTTGGTAATTTTATCAAATAGATTCTTATAAGGATCTTATTTATTGTACTGTATGTTCAGTTGAAATAAAATGTCCTAAGTTACACATTTAATTCATTCTGTGAACACATTTGCTGTATTTTACAGGGGAAAAAAAATGTTTCAACTAAATAATAAATAATGATGCCCAGCCTAACAGCCACACTGGCTTCGCCTCGGAAACATAGCTATGTTACTGTAGGCACACACCTCTTTGTGGAGTTTGATGTCCTGTGCGTTAGCGGTATATATATATATATATATATATATATTATTTTTTTTTCTCTTTTACTTTTCCTTCCTCTGTTACTTCTGGGCTGGACACAGGATTTGATGGCCTGCCCCAGTTGGTCCCAGGGTGCCCAATGGGATTCATGTCAGGAGAACATGCAGACCATGGGTCCATGCGTGTGACCTCTGGATTCACCAGGAATTTGTGGTCAATATATGTTCGATGAGGGCGCGCATAATCATCTATCAAGTTGAAATCACATCCAGCGTGGGTGAAAGGGACACCAGTCGGAAAGCCATCAAGCCCTGTCCAGCCCAGATGCTGTGGCTGATATTGCAAATTACCTCGAGCAGTGGTTCTTAACCTTGCTTGAGGTACCGAACCCAACCAGTTTATATGCATGTTCACTGAACTCTTCATTAGTGAAAAATAAAAATACGATTTTTTACAAATTCATTAAAAAATTATATTTCTTCAAAACAGAAAAAAGTAAATAAAATTACATGGCATAAGTGTAGTTTTTAAAATTGTATGACGTATGATCAGGACAGTCACACGGTGACTACTGAGCGGACAACATTTCCCGCAGTACTGATTGGACAGACAAGCAATTGTTGGGGGGAAAGCGGCCTTCTTTCCCCCGCATGTTCGTTGAATTTCATAACTAATTGACATGTTGAGTCGGGTATGTCTTAACCTCCATGGCAGAGGCTCCGTCGAACCCCTGAGACCGTTTTCACTGAACCCCTTGGGTTCGATCGAACTTAGGTTAAGAACCACTGACCGAGACCAAGAATGACAGAATCTCTCAAATCAGAATTCAGTGACTCATCTCGCGTTTGTGTTGGTGATGGAAGCCCTGGTTGAGATTTGAAGTGGCCCAACCAAATACTGAGTCCACTCTGCTCACACACATTGAGTCTCGTTCGGCTGACATTACTGTTATCTTTCGTGGTTTTATTATTTTATTATCATTTAATATACTGTTTATTTGCCTTTTTATTGTTGACAGTGTCTCAATGAAATGTTCCGATTCTTGATTTTGACCCCAACCTTGTTTTTTGCCTACAAATCCAAAAATGCAAGGCAAATACGTCTTTACTTCGACGTGTGGCTCGGCAAACGTCCAATCTTAAATTTGATATACTGTATGTCATGTTACCATTTATCAAATAAATATATTATTTGTAACTGAATAACCAGGTGTTCAATTACTTTTTTGTTGACTTTATATTTCTTTTGGCAACATCTGTCTATCTCTGGTTTATTGATTTCCTTTGCAGTCCTAAAATAAATACATAAAAATAAATAAAATTTGAAACTGATCTTTTCCCACAATTCCGATCGTCTGAAAATGATGGGATTTGTCCGAATTTCCGATCACGTGATTAGGACTATTGAAAGCAATTTATGTTGAAGAAGTGCTGCAAAAAGGCTTTCCTAGTTCTGCTGAATCTGTGTGCCGTAATTGGCACCTGTATTTAACACCTGGATGTTTAGGTACATTTCAATTTTCTTATTTTATTGTAATCGATCGCTGTAATAAGGAACGTGCGGAAAGGTAGGCAAATGAGAAAGTGCTGCCCTCTGCTGGCAGTTCTCTGCATGTGAAGAATAAAAAAAACGAGCACATCAAAATATTTTCCATCGTAGTTCTATGATCCGTGCTTTATATGGATTTTGTTTTCCAAACAAGAATTTAAAATGATTTCATCATTAAAATGTCAGAATTTGTATTTCCTGCTGAAGTACTGAAGAGAGATATTGAATATTCAGTGCCTCGAGTGAACACGAACAGAAGAATTGCGACTTGGCACATGCACTCACACAACAGACGTTGCTGTTTGTATTTCTATCGTCAATAAACGTGTCGTGGTGTACTGCACATGCTGACACTCAACAGTTTGTCTACGTTACAAGAATGTGTGTGAAAAATGGCCTCTTTCTCATCAGCTTGAAGGCTGACTGTAAGTGCACGGTGGCACTGCCACGATTTAGCAGCTCCATTGGCGCAATGCGGAGAAGAAGCCCACAGAAATACATAACTTGAGCAAGCAATAGTTTGTAAAAGACGTGCGGACCCATCGACAATCTCTTCCATCCATCCATCCATTTTCCGATCCGCTTTATCCTCACAAGGGTCGCTTGGGGGGTGCTGGAGCCTATCCCAGCTTCGGGCAGTAGGCGGGGGACACCCTGAACCGTTGCCAGCCCATCGCAGGGCACACAGAGACAAACAACCATCCGCACTCATACTCACACCCAGGGACAATTTTGAGTGTTCAATCAGCCTGCCACCCATCCATCCACCCATCCATCCATTTTCCGATCCGCTTTATCCTCACAAGAGTCACGCGGGTGCTGTCTTCGGGCAGTAGGTGGGGGACACCCTGGACTGGTTGCCAACCAATCCCATGGCACACAGAGACGAACAACCATCCGCGGTCACACTCACACCTAGGGACAATTTAGGGCAGGTGTAGGGAACTCCGGTTCCTCGAGAGATCTATCCTGCCTGTTTTAGATCCCACTCGACTTCAACACACCTGATTCGAATGATCAGCAGCTTAGCAAGTTCTGTAGAGGCCTAAAACGATTATGAGCAATTGAATCAGGTGTGTTGGAGTAGGGAGGGATCGAAAACAGGCAGGATATGGCTCTCGAGGAACCGGAGTTCCCTACCCCTGATTTTGAGTGTCCAATCAGCCTGCCATGCATGTTTTTGGAATGTGGGAGCAAACCGGAGTCAACCCATGCAGGCACGGGGCGAAACCTGCAAATTCCACACGGGAAGGGCGGAGCTGGTATCAAACCCACGACCTCTGCACTGTGAGGTCAAACTACTAACCACTGGCCCACCAGGCTGCCCATCTCTACCATTCACTTATCTTGAAAATGTGTTTGGCTCCAATAAGTTCATAACTCTTGACATGGATTTGGATTGTGAGAAACATCAGACATGCAGATATGTTACCATACGCAGAGGTAATTTCGAATCGGGGCTTTCAAAACCTTTAAATATAATGCAAAGACAAAGTAATACAACAGCCAGAAACAATTAACTTTATTAAATATTATTTTCATTTTCTTGCTCTCACATTGTTGACCAGTGTAGAATTGACTGAAACGTAACTAAAAGCTTTGAAAACAAATGTTAAAGAATTGAAATGTGATATTAACTTAACCATATCTTTCATTGAAAGTCAAAATTTAAATATAGGCTAACCTTCTATTTTGGGTTCATATTTTTGTATCTGACTCCAGAGGAGTCAGTGGCTTACCAGTCATAGTCAGAAATTGTGGGACAGTCTAAAACAGGGGTCCCCAACCGCCGGTCCGCGACACAAGCCGCGCTTCTCCGTAACGCGACCAATTAGGCTAAAAACAAACACCGGAGCTCGCAAAATGAGTAAAAAAAACTGCTGGAGATCGCAAATGACGTCGGCCTTAAAAGTACGTTCGAGACAACTGGATTAAAGTTATGTCTGAATACTCTGAGATCGCCACAATAGCACTTTTGCTATTTCCGACATCCTACCTGTGTGAGGCGGGGGGGATTATGCAGCAACGGCGACGAAAACAAAATTACGAAGTAGACTGGACATAAACCACACACTTGCGGTGTCATTGTCTCTCCTATTACCCCGAGATGGGACCGTCTGGTTGCAGAAAATCAAGCTCGGTGCTGTGGTGAGTCGTCATTTTCATGCACTTTGAATTTGCGTTGTATCGTATTTTGAAGGCATTAAACATTGCCATAGCGATTGGAGTGTTGCGGCCAGATTAGACGCTCCTTGTGTTTATTATTATATTTCGAAAACACCACAGTTTTCATGCAGCTCATACCATATTATTTTGTTGTATTATTACGCCACACCTTAAATGCCGGTCCCTGAAAATATTGTCTGACATAAACCGGTCCGTGGGGCAAAAAAGGTTGGGGACCCCTGGTCTAAAACGTCTATGGGGAGGAAATGGTTAATGTCCATGAAATCCCAAATACTGTGACAATTTTTAAAATATTTTCAGAGGTTGGAGTGGGCAAAGGTGGAGATGTGCATGGGAATTTTGGTGGCGATCGGTTATAGTTTTCTCACATTCTGCCAGATCAAGCTTTTTTACACGCAAATTAAGCGTTTTAAGACAGTCGACAATGCCTCATTGCAGAAGGCACCTTGTGCACCACAAAGGTCAAGGTAAGTCTTATCCATCCATTTTCTGAACTGCTTTATCCTCACAAGGGTTGCGGGGGGTGCTGGAGCCTATCCCAGCTGTCTTCAGGCAGTAGGCGGGTGACACCCTGAACCGTTTGCCAGCCAATCGCAGGGCACACAGAGACGAACAACAGCCCGCGCTCAGACTCAACCCTAGAGGGACAATTTAGAGTGTTCCATTAACCTGCCGCGCATGTTTTGGAAATGTGGGAGGAAACCGTAGCACCCGTAGAAAACCCACGGAGGCACGGGGAGAACATGCAAACTCCACACAGGGAGGCCGGAGCCAGAATCGAACCCTTCACCTCTGCTTTAAAGGGCACCCCTGGTCTATGTAGTATCATATACATTTATTGTGTGATAACGCAACCTTAGTAATTTATTAAATTCTTTTTAAAAACTGTCATATTTAGATCAAATTAATAATCTTTAAAACTTCACAAAAACACAAGGCTGCGTTTTGAAGGGGTTATGATACACCATTCCAATTCCCACCCGATAAAATGTGTACAACAGAACGCAGCCAACTCGCGGCTCAGCACCCAGTCATTCATCTAATCGCAGATTTGTTTTCAATACTCCATATAATTTTTGTTTCTTTGTTTTTTGGGGGTGAAGGGAAACAACCTCCGTTTTTGGTGGGCAACCCTTTTTGGTGCTTTATCAGCTTTTTCACAAATTTGCTGAATGAACAAAATAGACATTTATGCATTTATGTTACTTATAGATTTTCACTATTCACGGGTAGACCCAGTCTCTACCTTGCCAGCCCGAAGAGTGGAGTTCCACTGTA